GAGCAAGGAGCCCGATATGGGACTCGATCCCAGGACCCTGGGATCATGACCTGAGCCGAAGGCAGACGCTTAACGACTGAGCCACCCAGGCGCCCAAATTAAAAAATTTTTAAAAATTAAGGGAAAAAAGCAGAATCCAATTCCAATCCCACATTTTTAAAATCTGCCATTCACAAAGCCAGACAACGATAACCTTTCAAAGGACGAGCTTTAGAAGAAATTTCTGGTGCTTAACTGGACTCCCATGTTTCTACTTAAAGCAGGTGATATAGTAATGACAAGATTCCTTAAGAGGCAGGTGTTTCTGACCTATATGCCAGCCAATCTTCATGGACGTTCAAACCCGTAAGCACATATTATACAATAGGAAGATATAAGCGATAAATGAACAAGCTAATAATTATCTGGAGGCCAGCAAACAGAATTCAGTTGAAAGGAAGACACGGTTTCAAAACACAATTCCATACTATTTTACAAACCAAAAAGAGGACTCACCATCTGATGCTGGGATCCAAACATAGTGTTACATGGCACACGACACAAGCAGGGGAAGGGCAACCCGAGCTGCAAGAAGAAACATACAATTTCGTAAGAAAGAGCTTTGTCCCCATTCATTTATGCCCCCTAAAGAATGTGGCTCTAAGAAAAGTCACAATTACTCTTTTTTAAACAATCTCTCTCCTTAGGAACTCTTAATATTATAAGCAGATGTTGAAGGACATCTAGAGAGTCAAGTTTAAAAAAAGGGTGTATTTCCAGGAGCAGAGATTCTTTTTTTTAAAGATTTTATTTATTTACTTGGGAGAGTGCACACTCGCGAGACAGCACAAGCAGGGGAGGGGCAGAGGGAGAGAGAGAAGCAGGCTCCTGGCTGAGCAAGGAGCCTGATGCAGGGCTCAATCCCAGGACCCCGGGATCATGACCTGAGCCGAAGGCAGATGCTTAACGGACTGAGCTACCCAGGCGCTGAGATTCTTATAAGAAGATACAGACAATGTAATATTCTCTGTGTCAACGAAATGAGTAACTATCAACTTATGTTCTAAATGAGTATCTTTGTTATATTCTAGAATATACCAAAAAATAAACAACACTTTTCCAAACCAAGAAATAACCAAGCTCTAAGCATTTTGGGAGATAATTTAGGATCCTTCCTCCAAGCATTAGTAATAAATAACACCAGCAAAAGGCATTCAAAGAACAGGATCTCATTTATGGATCCACCCACTCCCTAAGAAGCAATAAATATGGATTAGCAGATGTACATTTCTTAAAAGAAACGAAGTCAGTGTTATGAATGGAGATAGTAATTATCAAATAAATTTTATATTCTTTATTTTTAGCTTCCAAATCCTTGAGGAGTTTATAGTTTCAGAAATTTTTAAACAGTTGCAGGATAGTGTTCTGGGTAACTAAGACCTGGTAGCACCATTTCAAGACCAAAAATTTAATGAGCACACTTTCTTCCCTTTCTTTTTAAATTATGAAACTGAAGCCCAAGTAAAACACACAATAAAAAATAAAGAAGTTTAAAGTGAAAATGCCGGGGCACGTGGGTGGCTCAGTCGTTAAGCATCTGCCTTCGGCTCAGGTCATGATCCCAGGGTCCTGGAATCGAGCCCCGCATCAGGCTTCCTGCTCCACGGGAAGCCTGCTTCTCCCTCTCCCACTCTCCCTGCTTGTGTTCCCTCTCTCGCCGTGTCTCTGTCAAATAAATAAATAAAATCTTCAAAAAAAATAAAAATAAAAAAATTAAAATGCCCTCCCACCCCATAAGCCATCAAGCCACTACTGTTAAGAGGTTAGTATAAAACCTTCTAAATATTTTCTAAGTATTTATATAAATATTTTCTGGGTATGAAAAACATATACATATACACTTTATTTTTTTTTTTAAAGCAAGTTCTGTGCCCAACGTGGGGCTTGAACTCACGACCCTGAGATCAAGAGTCGCATGCTCCACTGACTGAGCCAACCAGGCGCCTCACACATAAACACTTTCAAAAACATGAATATGACCATCTTATATATACTATTTTGCCATCTGCCTTTCTCACTTAACAAAATACCTTTATATAGCTTTTTTTTTTTTTTTTTTTTTTTTAAGTAAGTTCTACACTCAGTGTGGGGCTTGAACTCATGACCCTGAGATCAAGAGTTGCATGCTCTTGTGACTGAGCCAGCCAGGTACACCCCCACCCCCATACGGAGTTTGAAGATTGGATTGCTGTCCAAGACAACTTTGGGTCCATAAGAACCTGGCCTGTAGTAGATACTCAGGAAGTAATTTGTTCCAGGTTCCTGTAAGGATATTATAAATCTGCTCATTCTATACACACTAAAAAGAGGATATAAGGGGTGCCTGGTGGCTCAGTCAATTAAGTATCTGACTCTTGGTTTCAGCTCGGGTCATGATCTCAGGGTTGTGAGATCGAGCCCCGTGTTGGGCTCCGCGCTCAGCATGGAGTCAGTTGTTCCTCTCCCTCTGCTCCTCCCCCTGCTCTCTCTCATAAATAAGTAAAATCTTAAAAAAAAAAACAAAAAAAAAGAGGACAAACCTTCTTGCCACCAGTGACCACAGCTCATAATCAACTTAGGTCCCAGAGTTTCCCCCATGTATCACCCCAGGATTCCTCCATCTTACAAAAGACAAACCCTCCAATCCTATGGGTTTTAAAACAATGTTGGCCAAGAGGCTGAACATTTTTTTGTAGCCCCCTAATTGGGCTACCTGTACCATGAAATTCAAAAATGGTAATGTTCTTTGACCTACCAATTCTAGATAGACTCTGAAAATCTATATAATATAATCTAGAAAGTATTTTCTAAATATAGAAAAAGCTTTACACACAAAGATGTCCAGAATAATCCTATGCAAAGAGCATTACCTGAAAATGGTCAGAGAAAATAAAAGAATGTGAACATTTTAATTGCCCAAAAGGGAAACAGTAGTAAAATACCATACTGTCACTTGAAGGAATATTATGAAGATATTAAAAATAAACTGTACTTGGAGGAACTGTTGATACAGCGTATGTACCTGTTATAACCCTAAGTGAAAAAAGCCAGACATAACCATGTAAAAACTCTTTGATTAAAGTCTGGGGAAAAAAAACGTTGACTGTGGCTGCCTTTGGGCAACTAAAAAAATAAATACACACACACACACACACGGTGCCTGGGAGGCTCAGTCAGTTAAGTGTCCAACTCTTGATTTCAGCTTAGGTCATGATCTCAGGGTTGTGGGACTGAGCCCCATGTCAGGCTCCACACTGAGTATGGAGCCTACTTAAGATTCCCTCTCTCCCTCTCCCTTTACCCCCGCTTGCGTGTGCGTGCGCTCTCTAATATATATATATTTTTTTCACACACACATATATATCTGAAAATTAATATACCTTTATATATTTTCTGATAATGACAAAACAAGCATATGTTTCTTTTCATTTGAAAAAAACTGCAGCTAAAGAAATGGGTCTACATACTATAAAGTTTCAGGACAGAACAAAACACAATTGCTTTAAAATATCCACCGTATACCACATTACCTGATTACAAAGGTACTGGCCCAGGCCAGGCCTAGCAGCAGCACTAAGATATATGACAGGTTTTTTGTTATATAACACATTGAAACCATCCACTACAAAGTCTTCGTAACGAGAATGAATAGCAAGCCTACAAATCTTTGCAAGTCCTTCTCTTTCTTCTTCGTGGAAATAAGCGCAGCCATTTTCATACCTGTTAAGAGACAGCCATATATCAGTATGGTCTTATCTTTGGTTAACTCTGATTTTACAATCCTAATCTTACAATCCTGGAACTAATTATTTTCTTAACCTAGAAATTGTCACCTAGAACAGTCAAAGGAAGATAGGGATCACCCTCATCTTAGATGGCTGACCACACCTTACAGCTGGAGGTTATAAAGAACAGAGGAAGGGTACCTGGGTGGCTCAGTCTTAGCATTTCAGCCCTAAAACATCCGAAGTAAATAAAATTGTCAAAAATGCTAGGCAGCCTAACTTTTGCTTTCACTATTATCTGCCTGGGGCCGATTACTCTTCTTGGTCTGCTTTCTAGAAAAGGAGAGAGAGGGGCGCCTGGGTGGCTCAGTTGGTTAGGCGACTGCCTTCGGCTCAGGTCATGATCCTGGAGTCCCGGGATCGAGTCCCGCATCGGGCTCT